GTAGGCATAGAGACGTATATTCCTCATGCTAAACAATATATGATAATTGATGACTTGACATGTATATTGACATGTAGGCATAGAGATGCACTTTTCTCATGCTAAATGGTAAATTGAATTTTTTATCTAGTGTTGTGAATTGGGAATACAGTTCTTTTGATAAAGTCATGTTCAGTTGATTTTTATTGGCAAGATTCGGACTTTACTGTTATACCTGCAAAGCATGTCTACTTTTCCGTAACTGTGAACGAGTTGAGCATAATATCTTTTGAGTTATAACTTTTACAACTTTCATTAAATTATTATGGGTTGTTATTGGTTATTAGTGTTGGACACTGACCTTATTCCAAGCTCGTCACTACTTTCAACCTAAGGTTATGTTTGTTACTTATTGAGTACATGGGGTCGGTTGTACTCATACTATATTTCTGCACCTTGCGTTCAGATCTTGGAGCTAATGTTGTTGGGTATAACGGGAACTCGAATTGAGGATGTACCTGCGTTCCAGTTATAGCTGCCTCTTGTTCATGGTAGCTTTAGATTTGTAAATCTGTTTATGTATATTTTGAACAGATGATGTATTTATTTTGTACCACATTTATAAATTCTAAGTCTTAGAAGCTCATGAATTGCACTACCAGTCCTTGGAGAAATTGTATAAAATTTAGTTATTTCACTTTTTGACTCTTATAATTATCATTAGATTGTGTTTATTATTATTGGCTTACCTAGTCGATTGGGTTAGGTGCCATCACGACTAGTTGAATTTTTGGGTCGTGACATATTTCAAGTCCCAAAACAAAATTCCGGACCCGGTAGACACAAAGTCAACCTACGGTCAAATTTATGGAAACTTCTAAACCTCAAATTGTCAACCTTCGGTAAAATAAGTCAAATCAACCTCGGAACCTCTGAATTTAATTCCGGGAATACGCCCAAGTCATAAATCACGATACGAACATATCTGAGCCATCAAACACTGATCCGAGATCAATTAATCAAAAGTTAAACTTGGTCAGCTCTTCCAACTTTAAGCTTCTAAAATGAGAATCACTCTTCCAAATCAATCCCGAACTACTCGAAAACCAAAACCAACGATACACGCAAGTCATATATACCATATGAAGTTATTCGTCACCTAAGACAATCGAACAAAGTGCAACTGCTTAAAATGACTGGTCAGGTTGTTATAGAAATACCTCTTGAAAATTGCCTCTTTTGAAGACTAGGGTTTAAAAATATGAGATAATAGGCGAAAATGCTGAAATATTAGCATTAAATATTGCCTAGGGGTACATTATGCGATTGCATCTCGAGCCTATTCCATCGCAAAGTATAGCTGTCTAGTGCTCTACGCGACCACGACTCTCCGCCTTGCGACCGCAAAGGCCAAAGACCGGGCCCACCCATGCTAACACTTCGCGAACGCGACCTCCACCCACGCGAATGCAATGCGCAGTATCGACAAACCTCCACGATTTCTTCCCTGCACCCGCGACCATGAAGCGCAAACATTCCGGCCAAAATTCTTCTGCGCGATTGCGATCCCCTGCTTTGCGATCACAAAGCACTACAACACACCAACAATTAACCGCTACAATAGCATCCAAAATAGTCTGAAATCACCCCAAAAATTACCCGAGCTCCTCGCGACCCTATCCAATCATTTTAACAAGTCCATATACTTCACACAAACTTGTTTCAAGGCTTGAAATATCAAAATCAAGAATCAAATATAAAATCCATTCCTTAAGTTTCAAACTTTTTAGCTTCACCGAATGCGTCCGAATCATACTTGGACATTTTGGATCACAAACAAACTTTGCACATAAGTTTATTTCAACCATTAGGACTTATTCAAGGACTCGGAATACTAATAGAAGCTCAGTAACCCAAAATTCTACTATTGGTCAAACTTTTGAACTTCTAAATCTCCAAATTGCTAACTTTCGTCAAATAAGGTTAAAATCTTTTAGGAACCTCCAAAATTAAATCCGAACATACGCCTAAGTCTAAAAGAATCATATGAACCTTTAGGAACCCTCAAATGAATCCCTAGGCCGTTTACTCAAAAGTCAACCCTTGGTGAACTCTTACATTTTAAGGCTTCCAAAATAGAACTAATTGTTCTAATTCTCTCCCGAACCTTCTCGGAATCAAGCCGATCCTCCCCGCAAGTCACAAAATAATAAATGAAACAGCGAAAAAAATTATATAGGAAAACATAGTTCTAATACTCCAAACAACCAATCGGTTCGTTAAACAACTTTTTTACTATCTTGTTAAATTCGCTATGTCCGGAAAAGACAACAAAGCAGAGGAGATAAGGGTGAAGATGGCTAGAGAGGAAATCGAGATAGGAAGAAAAGGGGTTGAGAGAGATCTTCATTGTCCAAAAACTTTCTTCGGGAAAATCATAAAAATTTTAACTTATATTTTTCATTCATATTCCCTCAGTTGAGCGCACACGCTCTACATCCGATATGACTGCTCAAGGCGGAACTAGAAACACTTCTAAAGAGTACCAAGGGTATTAGGTCACCCAAAATGTTTATGTTGCAAGTAAAATTTAAGGATAATTTTATAAGAAAATAATGGTTTAGCGAAATAAATTATTAATTAATCATGTTTATATATTTACAAGACCCTAATCTTCATTGCGAAATTATTCATCCACAATGAATAGTAGTGAATACAATTTTAATTGATAGGCAAAGAAAATTCTTAAATAAAATTTTGACACATACTAAAGGTTTTTAGCTTCCGACTTGCTATAATTTTATTTATTTGTGTTCAGTTTAGCAGGACCTTTTGTTAGCATATTCAATCGAAAAGATTCTTCAGATCCATAATTTATTGCGTCATTGGAGGATGTCAAGAATACGTTACTACCATAAAATTAAATATTATTCACACTGCTTTTTATGTATTGAGCTTATTAGCATCATTTGCCGCAAAACTTAAATGACAAGATTCTTAAAATGCGTAACATAGCTTCATAATTAAAGTCATGATTACAAAATAATATCCAACCATGACATGAAATTATATTCACGTTACCCCGATTAAAGTACCATAGTATTGGATTTGAGAAGTAAATGCATCACTGTATGTGATTAAGTATCATGGTAATTTCTTTTGTAAATTTATCTTTTTGTATTTTTTCTTTCTTTTTCTATTTCTTATAAATTAGAATCAAGTTACATTGGTATAGTTCCCAAACCCTATTTGTAATATATGCATATTATAGTCAGACCTCTTCAGAGGCGGACCCAAAATTCGACAGTTAAGGGAGTACCGTTATATTCAATATAAATTTATCTGCTCATAAATATTGGTACGGGGGCATTTGTTAATATCTGATTATTTCTTGAAGAAATTAGCAAATATATATGGAGTTTTTTGCCGAAGTTTTCGGGTGTCGGTGAGCCCTTTGCCGACCATGTAGGTCCACCCCTGGACCTCTCTATAACAACATCACTAATCATTCACTATAAAAGCTAGGCTCTTCGGAATCGATTTTCAAGTTATATTTTCCACTCGATAATAGATATTTACCTATAATAGCAATATTCATATTTATAACAGAACGCTCTTTGTAAAATTACTCCTTTATAACAGCCATATAGAATCTTTAATAATACTAATAATAATTTCAAAAATCTGCACACAATCTTTTTATTTTGCATAATACATAAGATCGGAAGATTTGCACATGATATCATTTTCATTGGACGAATGGCAACAAATATTTTGACAGAAGATTCAACTGTTAAGCCCTTAGATTACCTTCAAGTGAAAGCTATTGGATAGCCTTCTGCTTAAAATTTAGATACAAATCTTCACCAATTCAAGCTTTATATCACTAGAAAGAGAATAGAATCTAAGAAACAAGCTACAATTACAAAGTTCTTCCATCAATTTTAAAAGAATTTAGTTTTCTAGTAACTTTAGAATGTGTGCATTGAAGTTTAAATCTCTGTATGTTTACTTATGAATTTATAGATAATGTATTAGCTTTCTTCAATATTTAATTAGTGAAATATGCATATCTTTTGAGATCTTAAATTTGAATAATTTTTTATCTTTAATATGGAACATTAAAAAAGAAAAAATAATTAATTTTTGGATAATTTTTGTCTATAACAACCAAAATATATTTAATTGTCAAATATTATTATAGGTGTATAACTGTCATTCATTGTAAAAGCCAAATAATATCATAATAAAATGATTTTGTTCTAGAGAGATTTAACACATATGGAACACCCTTCATAAAAAATGTTATTATGCTAGTAAAATATATATTATTTATTATGTACAGACAAGATCTTTCCTTTAAGTTTCCCCCATAATTTATAGTTTCGAAGTCGTATGATTGATTACCTCTTATTTAAGTTTTTAGACTAAACAAATTTTACAATGACAATTTTTAATTTAAATCATTTTAGAATTTTGAAAATTTATGTTTATGATTTTGACGCTTTAATATAGCTAGATTTTCAAACAAAAAACAAAACCATTAATGTGCAGTATATAAAATATATATTGCCGAATTATCATAGTGATTATATTGAGACATTATCTAAAATAAAATAAAAAATGCTAATGAAAAAAGGCCAATACTCATTTGAAATAATATCTAAATGTGTGCATTAAATGGAAACTATGTACATGACCTCTTTAATAAAGTATACTATGGTTGGTTTAACAACATATTCCAGTTACCGTTTTAAATAGAATATTACTATGGATCAATCTTCTCTAATGCTCACATGCATCTTCCAAAAATAATGGATCTTGTATCACATATGGTTGTATTTTATGAGCATTGTGTTCCAAAACTTACTCTATGAATTAAGCCTTTTTCATTACATCATCTATCTCTAGAAAGACTTAATATAAATAAATTTATAAAATATTAAAAATACAAGAAAACTATTATAAAACTGTTACTAACCATTCTACATGCCAATACATTACCGAGGAGGTCTATAAATTACACCATTTGCAAAGAAAGAATACACTCACGCAAAAGTTTCATAAAGCATCAAGTACGATTCCAGAATGACAATTTTTAAGCTTGGTTCCATCTACGCTATTCTTCTCATGGCAGCCACTAGTTAGTATCCTCTCTCTTTATCTACTTTACTATAATTTTTATAATGTTTTTATGTACGCATGTGTCTTTGTTTATGAAGTATAATTTTTTTTTATATTGTTTATAAGTTGTAATTGAATTTTGATAACTATAATGGGGATATGTTTCAGTTAATTTGATGTGGTTCTCCAAGATGCAAGTAATGGCTGCACGGGATATTGATTATGATCTCTCTGAAATGGGAAGGAGATTACTCCCGCAACTTTATACTTGTTTTAGATCTTGCACATCCGATAGTGACTGCAGTGACTGCATACTTTGCTGCCATTGTAATTACATGACATTCAATACGTTCCAATGTGGTCCTAGAACTGGAGTATAGAGAGAACACTGTCGTCCAATCGCAACAATGTGCTCCAAAATCGTGTAACACATTTATGATATCCTATAATTTCTATATTTCCTTCATCATTTCCTCTTTCCGCTATTATATGTTGTACGAATAATGAAGAATGTCAAGTGATGACATTCAATTCAGGAATAAGGATAAATTCAAATCTCATGTTGTCTTGGCGAGATTATATGTACGGTTATTATATATTTACAAATTTTATTTACAGATTTATTCCTTGTGTATGATATTTTAATTTTTAAATTTATTATTTCTTTGAAGTATTTTATGTCTCGTATCTCAATTACAATATTTCTTTTCTAAAAATGTATGCTTGAAATATATTTGTCGGGTATGTTTTTGTGAAATAATTCGGAAAGCAAGTAATAGTTTTAAGAGAAAAAAAATTCAAGTCTTTAGCCATGACCCAATACAACTACTTAATACGTGAAATGAATATTTTTATGATTTATTTATTTATAGTTGTCCATTAAAAAAAGATGAATGTTTCGTGTATTCTGCAACGACATAAATAATGTAATTACTCAATAATAACTTTAATATATACTTATATTTTCAACTTGCTTAATCACCTTATATGATTGTAACGACCCGACCGGTCGTTTTGAATGTTTTAGCCCTGATCCCCTATGTATTGCCTCCTCTATGCTACATTGTGATTTTGTGACTTGTCGGGGTGTTTGATTTTGGTTTCGGGTGAGTTCAGAGTAAAATAGGACACATAGTCCCTAAGTTGGAGCTTAAAGTTGAAAAAGTTGATCGTAATTTGAATTTTATGTAGACAACTCCGGAATGGAGTTTTGACAGTCCCAATAGGTCCGTATGGTGATTTTGGACTTAGGAGCATGTCTGGATGTTGATTTGGAGGTCCGTAGGTCGTTTCGGCGAGAATTGGCGAAAGTTGGAAAGTTAAAGGTTTGGAAGGTTGGAAAGTCTAATCTGGAGTTGACTTTATTGATATCGGGGTTGGATCTCGATTTCATAAGTTGGAATAGGTCCGTAATATCAATTATAACTTGTGTGCGAAATTTGAAGTCGATCAGAGTTGTTTTGGTATAAATCGGCATTAGTTTTGAAATTCAGAAGTTCATAAGTTCCTTAGGCTTGAATCGATGCGTGATTCGTGATTCTAGTATTGTTTGAAGTGATTTGACACTTCGAGCGTGTTCGTATGATGTTTTAAGACTTGTTGGTATATTTGGTTGAGGTCCCGGGTATCTCGGATGTAATTCGGATCATGTTCGGCGCATTTCGAAACATTGAAGATTGGTGAATCTGGCGCTTCTGGTTTCCTTCTACGCATTCACGAAGGTGTTCCCCGCATTCGCATAGAGTCTTCAGGGATTGCTAGAGATTTACACTTCGCATTCGCGAAGAAGGTCACGCGTTCGCGAAGGGTCGGGATTTTGTGCACTGCGATCACGGACAGGGAGCCGCGTTCACAAAGAGGAAAGGCAGGCTAGAGAGACCTCATGCATTTGGTCTACGTGTTCGCGAGAGAGGCTTCGCGATCGCGAGGCTTGGGAGCTTTTGTCATCACTTTCGTGAGTGGGATCTTGCATTCGTGAAGAGGATTTTGGCAGCTGTGTATTTTTGTGCATCGCGAACGCAAGGCTCATTCCGTGTTCGCGAAGTAAGAATCGCTGGGCAGCAGATTTATGTTTCAAAGTAGAGGGTTTATTTCATATTTCATATTTTGGACTCAGAGAGATCAGTGTAAGGCAAAGTTTTGGGAGATTCTCATAGAGAACCTTGAGATAAGAATTCCTAATTCGATTTTGGTTAAATTACACGAATCTATTATTATTTTTATCATCTAATTAGGGATTTGGGTTAGAAAATTGGGGGAAAATAGTAAAAACTTTGTAGGCTAAAAATTAAGGATTTGAAAGGTTAATTGAGGTCAGATTTGAATAATTCTTGTATGGTTGGACTCGTTATCGAATGGGTATTCAGATTTTATAATTTTGGCCGGGTTCCGAGACGCAGACCCGGTTAACTTTTTGAGTTGACTTTTTATTTCTTCGAATAGATCATAATTTCATTGTTTGAATTAGTTTCCTATAGTTATATTTATATTATGATTTTTTTGGCTAGATTTGTGCCGTTCGGAGTTGGATAATCGAGGAAAAAGCCTACTAGTGGATTGATTTAGCGTGATTTAAGGTAAGTGACTTGCCTAACCTTGTGTGAGGGAATTACTCCTTAGGATTTGTGTTGGTTGTGATAATTGTGATATGTGAAAGTTGTATACGCAAGGTGACGAGTGTGTACACGGGCTAAATGTGGGAATTATCGATTTTAGCTATGTAGATTCCTTTCATGCCGTAATTGAGTAACCTTAACATGTTATAATCATCATCTTCAGTCTATTTTCACATCTCTACTTGTCTTATTCTCTTACATGCTAATTGCCTTACATGTTTAATTGAAGTTCTTTTTTCCTTCATTTCGCATTCACTATTTGATAGTTTAAGTCTTTACTTGAAGTTGTTAAATCGTGGAATATCTTGTTGTTGAAATTGGTATTGAGATATAAAGGCCATGATTCACCTTGAGGCAAAGTGTTAAGTTGTGAAATACCATTCTGTTGAGTTGTTTATTCCGGTTGTTATTGTTGAGACTCTTGTGTACATTGTGGTTGAGCCATGGGCTATATACTATGAAAATATAGTATTTCTTTGGTTTCTCTGGCAAGTTGTGATATTGGGAACTTGAGGTACGATTTGTGATACGTTGTGATATTGATACGCATGAGGCGGTATAAGGTTTTGGGGTTGAAATGCATGTGGTGAGATAAGGTGGGCTTGATATGTGTGGCTAGTAGGGGAACTACTAGAAGTCATGCAGTGTGATAAGGTGGGCTAAAACGCGGGATGCTGTTTCGGAAAAATAATTTTCAAAACTAAATGTAAAGGCTCCCACTGTGATATAAGGAAAGATTGTGAGTTATTCGTGTGATTTGGCACTACGCGGCGGTACCTCGGTAGTGACCCTTGTTGATCTTTCCCTATTTGTTGTACTTGTCTTTGGGTTGTTTAGTTTGCTTCCGTGATGTATTATTTTCCTTGATTATGCGTAGCTAACTCTTGGTTTACACCCTACTTGTTTCATTTCCTTGTCATTATTATTATATTATTAAATCTTTCGTCTTGTTTCTTATTATTTCCAGTAGGGCCTTGACCTGACCTCGTCACTACTCTACCGAGGTTAGGCTTGAAACTTACTGGGTACCGTTGTGGTGTACTTATGCTATGCTTTTGCACATCTTTTTGTGCAGATCAAGGTACTTCCAATCGGTTCCGACACCAGTGAGCTGAGTTTGCATTTGGAGACTTCAAGGTACACATGCCCGCATCCATAGGCCTCGGAGTCACCTTCTATCCATTTTTATATTTTCTTTCTTTGCTAGATACAGTTGTATAGGGATGACTTTGATATTGGCATAGAGATTGTGACTTGTATTTTACCGTGTTATGAGTAAATACGTATATAATGAGTTGTGGAGATTTTCTTTATGCTAGTTGTTGGATTTCGAGCCTTTAATTCTTATTTCGGTTATCTCTGCATAATGTTAGGCTTACCTAGTCATACAGATTAGGTTCTGTCATGACATCCTACAGAGGGAAATGGGGTCGTGACAAGTTGGTATCAGAGGTCTAGGTTCATAGGTGTTATGAATCACAAGCAAGTTTAGTAGAGTCTCGCGGATTGGTACAGAAACGTCTGTACTTATCTTAGGGAGACTACGAAACTGTTAGGAAAAGTTTCACTCCTTTGATTCCTTATCGTGCGAATTTGCTATCTTCTGAATTCTATATATCTGTCTTTCTATTCTCTCACAGATGGTGAGGACACGCACAACTGGATCTGATGATCAGACACCCGCGCACCCTGCTAGAGCTGCGGGAGGCCGGGGTCGGGGAAGAGGCCGAGGACGAGCACATGGTGCAGCTAGAGCACCTGCCCGACCTGCTACAGAGGAGCCACCAATAGCTCCAGTCGGAGAGCAGACACTTGAGACGCCTGTTGCTACCCAGCACTTCAGGAGACCCTCGCTTAGTTTATGAGCATGTTTGGCACTTTAGCTTAGGCGGGGTTGATTCCGCTTGCTCCTGCTACATCTCAGGCTAGGGGAGGAGCACAGACTCCTACCACCCACACCCCAGAGCAGCGGGTCTAGATTGACCAGATCGTAGAGGTCATACCAGTGCAGCATGTTGTCCCAGTTCAGCCCGAGGTTAGGGCAGCAACTTCCGAGGAGGAGCAGATCAGGCTCGAGAGGTACAAAAAGTACTACCCTCCTACTTTCAGCGATTTGGCTTCAGAGGATGCCTAGGGTTTTCTTGAGGAGTGCTACCGTATCCTACGTACTATGGGTATTTTGGAGTCGAGTGGGGTTGCTTTTACTACGTTCCAACTTAAAAGAGTGGCTTATCAGTGGTGGCAGACATATGAGTTGGTAGCCCATCTGAGGCATCTTCACTCACCTGGGATCAGTTCTCAGAGATGTTTATGAGGGAGTTTGTTCCCTAGTCTTAGAGATGCATGGCGCGTAGAGTTTGAGCAGTTGCACTAGGGTTCTATGACTATATCGGAGTATGCAGTCCGGTTTAGTGATTTGGCAGGGCATGCACCAACCTTGGTTGCTACTGTCAGAGAGCGAGTTTGTTGATTTATCGAGTGGCTCAACCCTGGTATCAGATTCAGAATGGCCCAAGAGTTAGAGATGGACATCCCATACCAGCAGGTAGTGGAGATCGCTAGGAGATTAGAGGGTATGTGAGCTTGGGAGAGAGAGGAGAGGGAGGCCAAGAAGCCTCGAGATTCTAGCACATATAGTGGTGCCCGTGCCCCAATTGCAGCCCATCATGGTAGGGGCTATCTTAGCCACCCTATTCATTCAGCACTTCCAACTTCCAGTGGTATTCCAGCCACTTCCAAGCCTCAGGTTCCCCATTATGCACCACCATTGTCTAGTGCACCTCCTGCACGGGGTGCTTTTAATGGTCAGTCTAGTCGATCAGGCTCGAGCTAGTTCCAGCAGCTACGTCCTCAGAGAGCTTGTTTTGAGTGTGGTGACACTCGTCATATGGTGAGGGACTGCCCCAAACTCAGGAGGGGTGCACCTCAAAAGACTACTCAGGCCCCACGTATTCCACAGGGCCCTCAAGTTTCTCAGTCCGTGGTTACTGCACCAGTTGCCACTCCACCTGCA